GATTGGAAACACCCCTGTTAACTGCTCGGGAGAGGCGAAGCCAGAAAAATCATTAGAAATGTCGTTGTCGTTAGCAACTCTATCGTTTTTTTCATCAGTTGAAGAGCTTGGCTCTTTGTCTTTGTCCTTTGTCAGGTTAACACTCCTTGATTGTAAGTTGTTCTCGGCATCATTATCAGCTTTGCCTCCATTTTCCATGGACTGCATTACGTCAATAGCTCCAACCATGTCTTCAAGGTTCAGCCGCTTTAGAACGAGCTTGGCCTGGCGCGAGTACTCCTCTTGAGGCTCATCCGGGAATCTCGTATGCAGCGCGTTCATACTTCCTAATAAGGCGCTGTTCTGCATCGAGCACTCTACGCATGTCACAGCCACAATGGCGTCCTGAACGGTGACGAATTCGCGAAACATCAAGCGCGCATGCGCCTGCGCTAACCTTATTAGGCTTTCCAATAATCTGATGGTGGTCCGTGCTGCATTGCGCAGGTCGGCTTGCCGCTGACAATGATAGTACCGGCTCAGAATTCTGCAAATACAAATTAGACGCACGTTTTCTTACAAACAGTACTGTCATGTGCAAACATAAGAACGAGATCATAAAAAAGTTTCTTTCTACTGGAAATAGTGCGAAGATAAAGTGTAGGCTTCCTCTGAAGAAAACGGGGTGGTTGGGTGTAATATTGAAGGAAATATTATTTTTATAAAACTGCGAAATTTCTGGGTGGCAAAAACGGTAATGAGCTCAAACAATGCTGCGTCGCGCAATGAGTATTGAATACATCGGGTTCAAATTCATTGGGAAAGTTAAACGTGTTATGGTCTTTCAATATTCAGAGCTATATTTTTTGTAGCTCCATCAAAGTCTGATTCGCTATGCTGATAAGGCAAATCTTGTAAACAACGATTTCTCTATAGAGTATTTTGACCCGCGTTCGAAGTGTTTTGAGCGGAAGAATTATTATTGAACGTGTGATTAGAGAAGATTGCTTGGTCAAGCCAGACGCACGATCCACTCACCTTGTACTCTCTGCTGTAAGTTGAGGCTTAAGAGTTTTGACGTAACAGAAGTACGCCTGCATTCTTTCCATGCTCCAAAGCGGCTCTGACGAGGAGGCTGCTGTGCGCAGGCCCTTTCCTTCCAAAATGAACGATGATACGATCCTGAA